CATTTATTTTTTTTCCCTTTCCTGCCACACAAACTGCTTCCAGTTTGGTCACCCCTTCCAACTGAAACTCGAGAAGGCCTCCTAACTTTTAAAACAACATCAACCAATCTAATTTATTGCGGCAGGAGCCAGTAAAACAGTACAACTCTGATATAAAAGGGATTAAAACAGTAATAACATGGGAATAATATAAAAACATTAACAGGGGAGAGTTAATAACATTAGTAAAGTAAAATAGTGTTAATAAGAGAATCATACAAATTTTTTCAGCCAAAGTAAGTTTACGTTTCCTAATAGCTAAGCAACAAAATTTTGCCACAGTATAAGTCACTGAGCTCTGAACGTCTTCTAAGAGGAATTTACGAAGGACTTCTGGCCTAAAGTCAAGATAAGACTGCAGAGGGCTAAATCTAGACAGAAGGGGTAGTATAAGATGGTCTCCTTCCTCCTGATAGAATTTGCAGAACAGAAGGACATGAGTAATTGATGACACCATATTAGCCATGCATGGGCATCCAACAAAACATGCCAGGAGACTTTGCAAAGTGGCACCTGTTTTGTTTGATAGCAGGGGTGGCCAAACTTGCTTGATATAACGGCCATGCAGAATAAACATCAGATGTTTGAGAGCCGCAAGACGTGAACAAATATGACACACAAGTTTTTTACTGGAAAAATATGCAAATTTGCTTTTTATTAACATTGAATTACGCCACCCCTGTTTTATGAACACACTCATCTCGTATTTCCCTAGACCACGACCTGCAAACCAGCTCCTCCCCAGAAGAAGAAAAAAGCTGCTCTGTGAAAAATGAATTATTCTAAAATGCTCACAGATAAAAATACAGATGTTCTTACCTGGGCTTTATCTGCACTGCCTTAGCAGCCTGAGCTTGGTTGGCCTATAACATCAATACTACATATTTTAGACATCCATCATCCTGGTCTCTAAAACTGTTCTCTGATGTGCTGCTCTGGAAAAACAGTCCTGCTTGGGAAGTTTCCTAATCCAACCCTCAACAGCAGTTTTAGCCCACGATTTCCCCATGACTCCCTCCTGAAACCAAGACAGATTCAAGTGGGGGTAGCCGTGGGGGTCTAAAGCAGCAGAGCAAAGTTTGAGTCTGGTGGCACCTTTAAGACCAACAAAGTTTTATTCTGGGTAGAAGCTTTTGTGTGCGTGCTTCTACCCAGAATAAAACTTTGTTGGTTTTAAAGGAGTCACTGGACTCAAAGTTTGTTCTCCTGAAACCAGGTTTGTTTATAAGCTAAACTGCACACAAATGAGTGTTTAGTCCTTTGCTTTGGAGCATTTGCAGCCATAAAAGGCCAGAGCCAGTTTGGTGTAGTGGTTAAGAGTGCGAACTCTAATCTGGGAGAACTGGGTTTGACTCCTCCACATGCAGCTACTGGTGTGACCTTGGGTCAGTCGCAAGTTGTTTCAGAGCTGTTCTCTCACGAGCAGTTCTCAAAAGAGCTCTCTCAGCCTGACAGGGGAGGGGAAGGGAAAGGAGACTGTAAGCCGCTCTGAGACTCCTTCGGGTAGTGAAGGGTGGGGTATAAATCCAATCTCCACCTCCTCCTCCTCCTCCTCCTCAGCCATTTGGTAAGAGTGCAGTATTCCCATATGAGAGCCAATTCTGTAACTAGAGCCAGGCATGGCATACGATAGCTATATGGAATAATAATAATAATAATAATAATCATCATCATCATCATCATCATCATCATCATCATCATCTTTCAATTTATTGATCGCTCAATCCTTGCAGAGCTGCCGGCTCTGAGCGATTTACAGTTACACGGGACTAACAATGATAGGGGTAAGGGAGGACAACATATATCATTAATCACACACACTTCGCAGTCGACAGGGAGTTTGGTCAGCTGTAAGTACATTAATTGCACATCACTCCTTCCCTGACCTGGATGGCCCAGGCTAACCTGATCTCATCCGGTCTTAGAAGTTAAAAAGGGCTGGCCTGGGTTAGTATTTGGATGGGAGACCGCCAAGAAGGTCCAGGGTCACTACGCAGAGGCAGGCAATGCCAAACCACCTCTGGACATCTCTTGCCATGAAAACCCCATGAGGGGCTCCGTAAGTCAGCTGTGACTTGACGGCACTCTCCATCCATCGTCCTTCCTTGGTTCCAGAGTTCTCACACCAGCACTATGCATCCTAGAGACTGGCTGGAGAGGAACAAACTCTCCCTTCACAGTGAGGGGGGGGGCAAAAAAAAAACATGGCTTGTTGTACATATTAGATTCCATGTCAAAAATGAAGTCAAATGAGGAGGAAGATCTATGTTTTATTTCAATTAACAGAAAAACAACTGGACCAAATAGTTAATCAAAAATTGACAACTTTCTTCTTTTTCTTCTTCTTCTTGAACATATTCTGAACATATTCAGGAAATACACGATATTTTATACATGGACTGACATCATCAAGAAAACAATATTCAAACAGCATAATTGGTTACAAAAGACAGTGGTCATTTGAGTAATAATCCTCTGATTGGCCAGATATAAAGAAACATATATCTATGTCAAACTAAGAGTTTACTTAACCTAACCTAAATGATAATGGGCAAGGAATCTTCATACGAGACTAAAATCTTATCTGACCCAGACATTGAAAGGTTTGCCCTAAGAACTACAGAATCATGAACTTTGTACCTATTATGTTGTCTGCTAACAATATCAGACCTACAAGAGGAAAGCCTTCTATATAACAGGCCTTTCTAAAATCCTAATAAAATATTACTTAAAGAATATATTTATAAAAACCAGAGAAATATGAATATGAAAAATCAAGAAGAAAAAAACCTATATATAAAAATCTTTATATTCCCATTCATACTACAGGCTCACAGTGATCTTTTAACCTTTTCCCCACAAACAGCAAACTCCCTGTTCCACACAAACGGTTATCAAAGCTCCCTGCTGTTCCAAAAGATTTTTCTCATGTGGTATGAGAGATTGGTAGTCCATAAACGTACGCTATGTAGAACTCATCATATAGGTTGTTACAAAGGAGGAGGAGATTTAGACCCCAGCCCTTCACTACCCAAAGGTGTCACAGAGCGGCTTACAAACTCCTTTCCCTTCCCCTCCCCACAACAGACACCCTGTGAGGTAAAAGAAGAAGAGGAGATTGGATTTATACCCCGCCCTTCACTACCCAAAGGTGTCTCAGAGCGGCTTACAAACTCCTTTCCCTTCCCCTCCCCATAACAGACACCCCGTGAGGTAAAAGAGGAAATTGGATTTATACCCCGCCCTTCACTCGGAGTCTCAGAGTGGCTTACAAACCCCTTTCCCTTCCCCTCCCCACAACAGACACCCTGTGAGGTTGGTGGGGCTGAGAGAGCTCTGAGAGAACTGCCCTTTCAAGGACAGCTCTGACAGAACTACGGATTGCCCAAGGTCATCCAGCAGCTGCAAGTGGAGGAGTGGGGGATCAAACCCGATTCTCCCAGATTAGAGTCCGTGCACTACCACGGCAGCTACACGAACTCTAAATGCACCCAAACTCAGTAGCCAAGCAGGGTGAGGCTTGGTTAGTACTTGCATGGGAAACCACTAAGATTACTGTGTTACAGGTTTAGGAGCCCCCTCAGCAGCAGAGCATTCAGAAGCTCACAGGTTCAGTCCTCAGCATCACCTGTTTAAAAGATTCGGAAGCTGATGGCATGAGAGACGCCCTGACGATCGAAGCAGACAACAGGCCAACGCGCGCTCAATTAGACTGTTTTGTTTTGCAATACTGTTTAAAAAGAGTGCCCCCCCAAGAGGCCATTTTACGTTAAGAAAACACACCTGCACAACCCCATTTTCCTGTTCAAGAGTCACAGCTTGAATTAGCAGCACTACATGGTGACAAAGGTTGGAACGGCAGAATTTTAAGAGATTATCGCATTTTCTCCACCAGGGAACCAAAGCGCATCCTGAAGTCTCAGCTTATTTCCCAGAAAGCAAGCTAGAATGAGAAGCCCAATGACTGACAAAAATCACTGCTCACGGTTTTGTTTCATTTTACAAAAAAAATCCTTTAAAAAAAAATTGCTTAACAGTGCAACCCAAAACAGAGTTGCACCCTTCTAAGTCCACTGAAGGCTTGAAAGACTGTAACTGTTTAGGATTCCACTTCTAATATCTCTCAGAATGTAATGTGACCTGATACCCAATAGGCTGGTATCTAAATAAATTTGATCTGGGTAAGTGATATTAAAGAGAAATACAGCAGCAAATGACTAACAGTAGAAGAGAAGAGATTGGATTTATACCCCGCCTTTCACTACTTGAAGGAGTCTCAGAGTGGCTTACAAACTCCTTTCCCTTCCCCTCCACACAACAGACACCCCGTGAGGTCAGTGGGGCTGAGAGAGCTCTGACAGAAACTGCTCTTTTTCAAGAACAGCTGTGCCAGAACTATGGCTTGCCCAAGGTCATCCAGCAGGTGCAAGTGGAGGAGCGGGGAATCAAACCCGGTTCTCCTAGATTAGAGTCCGCGCACTTAACCACTACACCAAAGAGAAGAAGAGATTGGATTTATACCCCACCTTTCACTACTTGAAGGAGTCTCAGAGTGGCTTACAAACTCCTTTCCCTTCCCCTCCACACAACAGACACCCCGTGAGGTCAGTGGGGCTGAGAGAGCTCTGACAGAAACTGCTCTTTTTCAAGAACAGCTGTGCCAGAACTATGGCTTGCCCAAGGTCATCCAGCAGGTGCAAGTGGAGGAGCGGGGAATCAAACCCGGTTCTCCCAGATTAGAGTACACGCTCCTAAAACTACACCAAACTGGCTCTCTCAGTACCAACTACTGAATCAGTACCCTCTACCCCATGCACACACATGCACACGCACACCCTTTTGACATGTTTTTCTGTATGCTACTGTTAAGGTTCTAATACAAAAAGACAAAAGAGGAATGATCTTAACGACGGTAGAGAAAACAACATTTGAGCATGGGGAGGTCAAAAATATGGAAATACCTTCTTTTAGTTTTCTCTCTGTCAAGAGCTTTGGAGCGTTGAATGAAAGTTTGTATAAATATTCACAAAGAAAGGTAGATGACGAATCTTGAGAGGAAACACTGTTAGGGAAATCTGTGAGATAAGTGAAAAAATGTCATTAAAAGACCCCATGTTATTGTCTGGGTAGCCCCAATATCCAAATATTCTGCAAAGAAACATGCAATCTATATTTATAAAAGTTTCTGATGGAGATTGCAGTGCTAACTTCGGGCCAGACAAAATAGTATAATTTCTTTTCCTAACCCATGATTAAGGGCTAAAAAGGAATTCCTGAACATAGTTTGGGATTTAATAAATTCTATAGATATGACATCTATAGTACTCAGAACAAATTTTCCCACAACACAATACATAGACAGGTAGAAATGCACAAGTAAAGTTGATCGTAGCTAGAAATTATTTATTATTTATTATTATAAATTGTTTTTGGAAAAACTCCACCTGTGAATTTCTACCAGTCTATTTATTGTGTCATAGGAAAATTTGTTCTGAGAACTATATATGTCATATCTATAGAATTTATTAAATCATTGATTCTTGATGTTAAAATTTGGGCACATGCATTTTTTTCCTTGCTTACATTTATTGCTGTGCCACTGCCTTTCATCTTGTATCCCATAGTTAAGGATTGGCAGAAAAACAGAATTTGACACCAGAGTTTAAAGACGATTTGTAAACGATGGCTTGTGTTTACTGTAGTGTTAAGTTGCCCACTCTTTCAAACACATATTGTTCAACAAGACATCCATTGTCCTCCAGGTGACAGTAGATCTCTGTTTCCTTGTCTTTGTTCTTTTGTAGCCCTAAAGACATTGGGTTGGATCCCACTATGTAGCCACAGAAGGTAACTTTTACTTAACGCAGTCGTTTTTGTGCAGCCCCTTCCGAAAAACTACCAAAAGCGCTGATTTAAAATTTCTGATCAATGTGACAGCACAAAAATAGGACAACAGGCTAGCTGATGCAGTCATCACTGTCCAATTTGGAGGTGTGATATGAAGAAGAAGAAGAAGAAGAAGAAGAAGAAGAAGAAGAAGAAGAAGAAGAAGAAGAAGAAGAAGAAGAAGAAGAAGAAGAAGAAGAAGAAGAAGAAGAGGAGGAGGAGGAGGAGGAGGAGGAGATTGGATTTATACCCTGCCCTTCACTCGGAGTCTCAGAGCAGCTTACAAACTCCTTTCCCTTCCCCTCCCTGCAACAGACACCCTGTGAGGTGGGTGGGGCTGAGAGAACTCTGACACAAACTGCTCTTTCAAGGACAGCTCTGAGAGAACTATGGCTTGCCCAAGGTCCTCCAGCAGCTGCAAGTGGAGGAGTGGGGAATCAAACCCAGTTCTCCCAGATTAGAGTCCGTGCACTTAACCACTACACCAAACACTACACTACATATGATGTGATCAAAGAAGGTCATTACTGATAGGGGAGGAGTTTGCTAAAAGTGGGGTCATGAGTGACCACTGAGCCCGATTGGCAGCACCGAGCCAGGGGAAGGAAAGGGTCAGTGAGAGGAAACTGGCCATTACAGCCGGGCTGGACAAGGGGCTAGCAGAGAAAGGCAGGCAGCTGCAGCAGCGGGAAATTTCAGCCCTCCCTTTACCTGGCAGGCCAATGTCCAACCCGGAAAGAGCCAGGAAGGAGTGGAAAGGGACGGGTCTCTTAGGACTTTATACACCTGGAACACCACCTGCCCATGTCCTTTGGCTGAGGGAAGGAGTTTAGTAAAATACACCTTCGGCTAGCATAAATACAAGGCAGGTCACATTGACTTAGAGCAAGGGATGAACAGACATGTTCCACAGGATCCGGCCCACAGTAAAGAGTTGTTCACAGTTTACATCGTGTTGATGATGCCATTCTTGTTCCACCCCCTCGCACAGTGTTGAAACCAGCGTTCCCTTAAAGCTGTGCTGGTGAGTGGCCCCCCATTAACACAGGACGCCCCACTCAGCAGCCATCTGGAGGCGCACAGGGTCTTGCACTGTCCGTTGCCCATTTTAAGACTGCAACAGTTCTATCAGGAAAAACCGTTTCACGGTCAGAGTGGTTCAAAGGTGGAATCAGCTGCCTAGGGAGGTGGGTTCCCCCCCCCCCCATACTTTATTTTTTTTAATTAAAATTTAAAAGAGCAGTTAAAAATAGGAAAGCAAATCTTGATGTTTATGCAGAGCAAATAGGGAAGTGTCGATTTTATGTGCTGCTGACGCTTCTAAGAGGGGCATCCATTTTTCTTGGAGAGGAGGTGGTGAGCTCCCCTTCACTGACAGCTTTCAAGAAGAGGCTGGATGGATATTTGTCAGAGATGCTTTAGGCTGGTCCTGCATTGGGCAGGGGGTTGGACTAGATGGTCTGTATAGTCCCTTCCAACTCCATGATTCTGCTCAGGAGATGAACTGCTCCACTCAGTGGGGGGGGGGGAATAGAGGGAAGGTTGGTTGCAACAGTGATAAACTCAGAGGATCTCAATGGAAATCCTTACAATCAGCTGCAGATAATTTACAGGGTCACTGTACAAACAGCTACGTTTCTGTCCACTACTATGAAAACACAGGCTCAGGTTAATGTCCTGTGTGTAATTTCATTTGACAACTTTTATCCCTGACACACTAGGATGAATGATATATGCAGAAACATGATGTTAGGCAGGGCTTTTTTTGTAGAAAAAGTCCAGCAGGAACTCATTAGCATAATAGGCCACACCCAGCAGCAGAAACTCATTAGCATATTAGGCCACACCCCTGACTGCACCACTCATTAGCATATTAGGCCGCATTCCCATGTTACCAGAAGTGTGGTCATCCAGCCACACCCACCTTTTGCTTGTTATTCTGTTTACCTTGTTTGTTGTCAAAACCCAGGGCTTTTCTTGTTGCAGGAACTCCTTTGCATGTTAGGCCACACCCCCCTAATGTAGCCAATTCTAATGAGTTCCTGCTGTTGGGTGTGGCCTATTATGCTAATGAGTTCCTGCTGGGTGTGGCCAACTTGGGAGCCAGCCGGAACTCCGTTCCTGTGCGTTCCTGCCCAAAAATAGCCCTGATTAGGTAATTTCTTAACGTGGTTTATTCAGCTTTTGCATGGCTTGTGGGCTGAAAGAAAAAATATAGTCCCTCCCCTCCAACCCCCCCCCCCTAAAGATTACAAAAGAGAAACATAACACCCAATTTGCATGAAAGAATCTTTAGAGTGATTGTTTGACTCCATGTGATCTATCTTAATCAGTCAAATATTTCAGGAGAATCTTATGTGCACTTATATATAATGCAGGAAATATTGGCACAGATCCATACCTGAAAACTTATTGTGGTGGAGAAACTCCATCTGCAGCCTTTGTCCCGCTCTCTTGGCTAACAAGTAGGGGGTACTGTAGACGGGATCACCGGTCGCACACATCACATCTGCTCCGCTGAACAGCAGCGTCATAGTTTCCAATATGTCCTGCTTAACCACAGCAGCGCACAGGGCCTGGTCATGAAGATGAAAAACATTAACTGCAAGTTGAACACCAAATAGGAAAGGATTTATGACTCTTAATTTAGTGAGCACCATTACTGGTCTCCTCGTTCTGGAGCTGAGATGCATATAGCAAGGTGAGAGCATGTTACATTTCAGAGGCAAAAGCCATGTTCAGATTATTAAATCACACTGTAGTATAAATTTTCTTGGGGACTGGTAAATTGGAACTGAGGCATATCAACTGAAGACAGCATGCCCTGCATGCAGGGAGGAGGAGGAGGAGGAGGAGGAGGAGGAGATTGGATTTATACCCCGCCCTTCACTTGGAGTCTCAGAGCAGCTTACAAACCTTTTTCCCTTCCCCTCCCCACAACAGACACCCTGTGAGGTGGGTGGGCCTGAGAGAGCTCTTGACAGAAACTGCTTTCAGGAACAGCTGTGCCAGAGCTTGTGACTGACCCAAGGTCACATCAGCAGGTGCAAGGGGAGGAGTGGGGAATCAAACCCGGTTCTCCCAGATTAGAGTCCGCACACTTAACCACTACACCAAACTGGCTCTCTACTGTGACAGTTGGCTGCAGAGCACATCAGACGGTGAATATCTGCCTTCCCAATGCCTAAACTTACAGAGGGCCCGCATGAGTCACAAAAGCCACAAATATTCTGTACTCAGTAGACTTTTCATACTTAAACATCTACAAAGCCATTTTTAAAAGGACACATGGTTCTTGGGTTAAACCAGAAATTGTGGTTGCAATACAAGCTTTTATTTAGGGAGAGAGAGTAGAAAACCAAGATGAGTTTTGACGACTGGTAGCAGGGAAAAGATGACTTGTCTTTCCTACAGGGGTTCTATGCCCCAGATTAGATGATATTGGGAAGTGGGTTGTTTTCCCACTTCCCCACAGCGCCATGGTGAGTCTGTATTCATGGCTTTTCTGTGATCTTTCCAAAAAGTGCTTTTACAATGATCTTTTTTGTAAAGTCTGCAGCAAAGCAGAAAGGGGCTGTAACGTGGATGGGGATTTTCCCAGTCCCCTCCACACTGTGCCATTTTCTATGCCTCGTTCCCTCACGGTGGCCATCCCCTTCACCTTGTGGCCATCCCCTTCACCTTGTGGCCATCCCCTTCACCTTGCGGCCCTCCCCTTTACCTTGTGGAAGCTCTATTGCCTCTGTAATCTATCAGCAGCCATGGCAGCAGTGGGGAAACCACACAAGATCACTGCTGTATAGAAATCCCCTTTATTAAGATACAAGCTGTGGTGCCTCCACTCTCTGTGGCCCAAGCTGAATCGACCAAGCCATGCTGAGTAAACATTTAATTGGTTCTCGCCTACCTCTTCACAAAAGAAACATATAAAATCAGAATTCTGAACACATTCTGTTTCAAAGCTGCCTAATAGTTGAGCACAAGAAGCGTGGCCGTGTTAGAAAAGAGAAAGAGTCCACGAGCACCTAACCACTAGCAACATTTGTGGCAGGGTAGAAGCTTTCCTGAGTCACGGCTCACTTCTTCAGTTTAACACAAAGCCATAATAGCCATATACAGCCTACACCAGCTGGCCATTACCAAATGAATTGACAATCGTGTCCCCACAAATAGGAATACAACGAGCTTTATTAGGGACAACCAAGATCTTCTATGGCCCACTGAGACTACTTATTCCTCTCACTTAATCCTTCCTTTTTTCACTCCCCCTCTCCAGCCCTTCATTCCATATCACAAATTGCCTTCTATTTCAAAATCAGTTTTCTATACAACATAAAGCAGGGAAATAAGAAGCTCAAAACTCCACTGAGTACATCGATAGTCGAAGAGCTCTTTGGATCCTGGCCTTTGCACTTATGTAGAAGGACACGAAATAACTTTTTACATTATTAATTGACCAGTTAAATCTGCTCGCTGATTAAATCAAGAGGTCACAACAAGTTGTGTGGTTTTTTAAATCGAGATCTTTCACGTAATCTCCCCCTGCTGGGAGAAGCCACCCCGAGTCTCTTTCACTAACTTGTCAGAAACTCCAGTATCCTCTACTAGGGAGCAGAGACTAGAGTACCCTGGAACCACCGAGAAGGAAAATCACAGTAAGTGAATAGAATCTTCCATTCTTCCGTAGTTCCGGAGTGACTCATGTGGGCCCTCTGTAAGTTTAGGCATTGGGAAGGCAGATGTTCACTGTCTGATGTGCTCTGCAGCCAACTGTCACAGTTGCAATCCCCACTGCCCCGCCACTACTTTTGCCCAGGCTGCACCTCACACCTGAAATATTTGATGCCATTTAATAAACATGACATGGAAAGTCTCATAAATGAATGGAATAAGGAGCTGAGTTGCCCTACTGAAAGGTACGCAGACGGACGAGTGATTTCAGCTTAGCGTACTTTATTAGATCAGAAACAAGACAAAGTAACCAGCTCGCAGCTGGTTTATATGTGCAACAACCCCGCACCCAAAACACACCCACACACAAGTGATTGGCTATTTACAGTGGCCGAGAGTTCCATAGGCTCTCGGCCAGGAGCCTAGCCTGCTGATAGGTGCCAGGTAGGATCCGCTTGTCCCATTGTTACTGAGAGCGAAGCTCGGCCGCTTCGCATGACCATGTGATGAAATGGCCACGCACGTGGTCTGAGATGGATACCTTACACCTACTTTGCCCAGCAATGGGATATGGCTCTGAATCTTATACCTGTTGTTTCTGTGAAACTCAAGCTGTGACTCGCTCAGCAAAGAACTATGTTTAGGATGCATGGGCCACCACAGAACCTTTTTAGGAAAGGATTAAGTGACTATATGTTGTCGAAGTGACTAATTGCTGGCATTGTAACTCCTATGGCACATCTCTTAAACATATGGTTTAGGCCTGCCTAGTTATTTGGTCAAATTTGTATTAGAATATCCGTTCATCTTTGAGGATGCTTACATACTTCCTAAGCTATTTGCCTGTCTCCTGTAGACTGACTGATGGTCAATGGAAAAGGACCCTCCATTCCCTTACTGTTGCTAAAAGACCGGGAAGATAAATGTCCACCTCTAGTAATTCAGTAGACCTTAAAATCCTATCAACAATTTGAATGCATCACCTAAAGATGACAATTGTGAATGGGTGTACTGTTAGATATGTGGAAACCATTTATAGAGGTTTATCTCTAGACCTGCCACCATTGTTGTTACATTCTGTTTGGTTTGGTTTTTCCTGGTAGAGGGTTTGATTTATAAGAAAAATGTAAAGATACTGGGGGGGGGGGAATCAGAAAAAACAACTCAGCTTTGGAATTTGTTGGTCAGACTTTGAGACTTTTTTTTTTAAAAAAAGATCATATTGTTCATGAGAATGGCATGTATTTCTCCCAGAGTGATCCTTCTCCTAGGTAGGGCCTAGGCACATGTGATCTCTCCATGGTTCAATTTAGCAGCTTTAGTTCACTGTCTAATTACCGTATTTTTTGGACCATAATACGCACCTGACCGTAAGACGCAAATAGTTTTTAAAGGAGGAAAACAGAGAAAAAAATATTCTAAACCTTCGGTCCATAAGATGCACTCACTTTTCCTCCCACTTTTTTTGGAAGAAAAAGTGAGTCTTATGGTCCAAAAAATACGGTAATTAATTAGTTTGTTGTCTAATCAATTAATTATGCATCAGCAGTGAAAACAGATTCAGGGGGGAAAATATACTTTTACCACACCCAGGGCTCTTTTTGTAGAAAAAGTCCAGCAGGAACTCATTAGCATAATAGGCCACACCCAACCGCAGGAACTCATTAACATATTGGGCCACACCCCTGACAGCACAGCTCATTAGCACATTAGGCCACACCTCCATGATACCAGAAGTGTGGTCATCCAGCCACACCCACCTTTTGCTTCTTATTCTGTTTACCTTGTTTGTTGTCAAAACCCAGGGCTTTTTTGTAGCAGGAACTCCTTTGCATGTTAGGCCACACACCCCTAATGTAGCCAATCCCAATGAGTTTCTGCTGTTAGGTGTGGCCTATTATGCTAATGAGTTCCTGCTGGGCGTGGCCAACTTGGGAGCCAGCCGGAACTCCGTTCCTGTGCGTTCCTGCCCAAAAATAGCCCTGCCACACTCTATTGTTTTAACAAGCAACGAAAAGTAACACAAACAACATTTCTGGGAGCTTTACCTTATTTAGCTCTTCTTTAGTTTTGTAAAGCAGAGTGGTTTTCCTGAACCTTCCCTCTTTGTACTTTTGTGTAATAAAGGTTAGCCTCCTGTCCGTTGGGGCATCCATAGGCAGTTCCTCGTTGGACTGAAGATTTCCTTCCCAAAAGCTGTTTGCCCTCTTGTTCCCTATCACAATAAAAAGCTACAAAAGAGGGGGAAAGAGATCGACATAAAGGGTAAAGACCTGATAAAGAAATAAGCCACAAGGAAATATGGAAGACCAGAACTTTCTATATATGCTGGAGAGTGAAGAATTAGTGGCAATGTTCAAGACTGCGTCTAGGCCGTGCCAAAGAAAAAGAAAAGCACCCTACATTCCATGGCAATGATTCTGCAACTGCTACATTCTGCGGCCTGCATTAGAAAAACCACATTTTCCTTGTTTGACAACATTCCCCCCCCCCGCCGACCAGCCATGGGCAGGGGTATAAAGCTACACAGTGCTAGGGTTGCCAGGTCCCCCTGGCACGTGGGGGATCCCCCAGTTTCCAGCACTCCCCCCAGCACTGGCCACCTGGCCAGCAGGGGAGAGTTACCGCCCCAAACGGAATGTGCCTACATCACCCGGAAGTGATGTAGGCATGTCGGTGATGTCGGAGTGCGGCACTCTGTTTTTTGGGCAAAACTCAATGGTACAATTAGCTTCAAACCATAGAGTTTTGCCCTAAAAGCAGAGCATCGCCCCCAATGTCCTCAATGTGCCTACATCACTTTCGGGTGATGCACGTCACCCACCGACATCCCCAACAGGCATGGCGTGCTTCTTCCCTCTCCTCTCCCGTAGCATCCCAATAGGTCCCCCCCCCCGGCTTGTCATTCAGACCTGGCAACCCTACACAGTGTTCTGGTGCTGCCCTCCCCACCAAGCACTGAAAACTATACAGTAAGGGAGGAGAGATCCCTTGGGGACATGTCTGCCAGGCGCAGGGGATTTTCCCCTGCTTAACTATAACATCTGAACTGCCATGCTTTGGCAGTTCTAGCCCCGTGCTGGTGTGAGCAACCAAGCCTTGTCCCAGCTCATCGTCTACCCAGCGATTCGAAAGCTTCGGCGAGTAGATAAATTGGGGACCATCCATAAGGGGGTGGGCACACCCCTCCCTTCGGGAAGGTGTTAGCTGCCGAGGCAACTTGAGGCGCGGCGACCGGAAAGACGAAAGAACTGTGTCAGCTTCCCTGCAGTGGAGTGAGTCGGCCAGGCGGTGGCAGTGTGTGGCTGCACAACATCAAGAAGCCAGACGTCATCAGCCAGCCGACAAGATGCCGTAGGAACACGACTGACCCAGCCCGCAGATGAAGCCCGGCTAGCTGCAATGTGTGTGTAATTAATGCTGTATGTTTGTCTTCCCTTCCCCACAAATATTGTTAGTCCAACTGTCTCAAGAGTAACTGTAAATCGCTCTGAGCCCGCAGGTATGTGGGAAAGAGCGATCAATAAATCGAAAGCATTATTATTATTATTATTATTATTATTATTATTATTATTATTATTATTATATACCATTGAGGTTGGGCTTCTGCTTTCTTTCCTGTTAGCAGGCCTGACTGAGGCCAGAGGCACGAGCCTTTGGGCACAAGCTAAGGGGCTCTTGGCCCACAGTCAAAGCCTCTGGCCCTGACGAAGCCAGCTCAGTAAATCCAGCACCAGTAGCATTGTCAAAGTCCAGGTAGTGGCTGAAGATCTGCTGGGATTATGACTGATCTCCAGGCGACAGAGTTCCAACCGCCTGCAGAGAATGCCGACTTTGGAATGTGGACTCTATGGCTTTGTACCCCATTGAAGTCCCGCCCCTCCCCAAACCCCACCCTCCCCAGGCTCCACCCTCCAGTCTCCAAGTATTTTCCAACTCGGAGGTGGTAGGCCTAAGCACCAGCCCAGGATGTTATTTGCTGTATTGGGGGGCCTTCATTTAAACTTCATTTTTGGAAACCACTTTGAGCGCCCCCACTAAAAAAAAAAGACAGTAAAAAAAAACCTAAACAAATAAATGTACAGCAAAATCCTGCTGTTTTATCAGGTGTTACACGGGCTCAGGTTTACAACTATGACCATAAGGGCTAAAGTAAAGGTAAAGGTTCCCTTGCTCGAAAGCCAGTCGAATCCGACTCTAGGGTTGCGGTGCTCATCTCCGTTTCAAAGCCAAAGAGCCAGCGCTGTCCGAAGACGTTTCCGTGGTCATGTGGCCGGCATGACTAAACACCAAGGCGCACGGAACGCTGTTACCTTCCCACCGAAGTGGTACCTATTCATCTACTTGCAATTTCTTGCTTTCGAACTGCTAGGTTGGCAGGAGCTGAAACTAGAGATGGGAGCTCAGTCCATCATGCGGCACACTTGGTTCTCGAACTGCTGAACTACCGACCTTCCACAGCCTGCAGTTCAGCATCTTAACCACTTGAGCCACTGCAGCTCCAATAAGGCTAGGAAGGTGCTTTTAAAAAAACAACAACCAGGGAGCTAAATTCTGTTGTCAGTTAACCATTCTTTGCAAACCTTTGGGGACGGAAGTGCATTTGGAAAAACTGCTGTAAGCCATTCCGAGTCATGGGATAAAATAAAATAAATTTGATTTCTGAGGCTTTCCCATGCTCCTGTGGAACTCCAGCCCCTGTGTAGCCCTAGCAGCATCACAACACAGCACCTAACAAGGATAATGACAACAACAGCATGGTTGTAAGGCCCAAGTGAATAAGAAAGCAGCTGTAGAATTCTATGTTTCTCAGCATTCCTTACCAACATTGGTACCACACTGGGAAAGCAGGAATATGTAGGCACAAAAGTCTCAAGGCAAGAGGTACGCCCGAAAACACTTGCAACGTCTAAAAATCTGGCATTTACCAGACAGTCAAGTCTCAGATTATCATTTGATTCACTTTGCTTACGAAAATGGGATGGTTAATTAGTGCGCGGTGATGTTTCAGCTCCGTAAATGGGATGAAAGGTTTTACACACGGGATAAAATAAAGCCACATCCCCCCAGGAAGCCACTAAATGCCACGAACTTAAGCATTAAATCTCACATTTCCCATTGGACTGGCTGATGCCTCTGATCCTCTTTCCCCTCCATTCGCTCCTACCTCAATGAGCTCGTTGCTCCAAATACTGGCATCCATTTTGAGGCTTCGGACCTTCGAATCTCTGGGCCCCAACGATCTGTGCTGGCCTGTATCAAAATACCAAAGTGTCGCCCATTTTAGGCTTAAGAGCAGGGCAAAAGCAATATGTTCAATAGGTACTGAAAGCGTGTCAGCATGTCAGGAAAAAACGGGTTCTGGAGATTTTGAGGCTCAGGTGTTGTAAAGTGTCCACAGACGTCTCTGGCTATGTGGACTCTGAGCACATGCGGAACAGCCTGGGCATTTCAAGGGTCAAACATACGAGGCATTGGCTGTTCGGTGAACACAGAACCCACTCAATGTGGTTTTCCCCCTTAAAAAAAAAACAGGGATATGTGTGTGTAGGTAGCAATTCAGATCAGCACTGAAAGGCTAGGGTAGAGGAAGTGGTTAGTTCTCTCCTCTACACCATTGGGAATCTGCTATTTGGGGAAACCATATGGGCACTGATATGGGCATATGAATATTTCCCCACCAGGGCAAAGGGCAGTGCACTGAGACCATTCCAGACTAGGGAAATGGCACCAGAGGGAGGCTTAATCTCCAAACTTTAACACCTCAGTTCTGACCCAATTTTTAGGGAGAAAACGGCTGAAGTTCTGGTGTGTGGAACTCTCAAGTCTCATCTATTTAAGCTCTTGGTCAGTCATAGAAAGTGTGGAAGAATATAGGGAAGACAATGATGAGCCCTAAAGAATTATGGGCATCACACGAGTAGCTACTAATATTACAGATCTAAGGATGGATTTTTGTTCTGCTTGCAGTTGTGGGTTAAGATAAATAAGTCCGTTGGGGACCAAAAACGTCAGCCCCAGAATGTCTGCATAGAACTCCACAACCAAAAATTTCAAATGTTAAAATTCGGGTTTTAAAATCTGAACTTCTCTCCAGCTTTGCAACTTTTGTTGTTGTGTACAGGGAAGATAAATGTCAAGTTTTCAGTATTCAAATGTGTGACATTTCTTTTCCGCTCTAATTGTGGGATTTAATTGCAGGAAATTGCCACATTTTTCTGTCACCTCGCTTTTCAGAATTTCACAAAGAGGGCTCTTATGATTCAGCTCCGACAACAGACTATTTAAAAACTGCTTCAGTCTTCATGTATAAACACAGCTTCTTAACACTTCTACAAAAATCCCAACACTTCATTAATCAGATAATGACTTCCAACAGACCTCTATGTAGTCACAACTAAAAAAGAAAAAAGAAATGAGATGCATTTCACAATGGCTCTAATTTGATGCATATTTCTTGATTCATAGGACAGGGCTACAACTTTACAGAATTTCTAGGATCCATAAATCCCACCAGTAGCTTAGTTCAAATAAGATCTCACAGAGCCCTGATTAGTGAAAGAATTTATGAACTTTTTCTTTAACTCAAAATCTCACCCAAATAAATACTTCATAAAAATTATTACTGCATTTTAAATACCGAAATTATTGTGTTGTTAAGGAATGTTCTCATCATGACGAGGGTCACCCCCCCCACACTTGAACACTTCGGATGTCGAGCACTTTCTCCCCACCCCCCCATTTTTAACTGCCATTTCATTCCAAACATCATCTTAATAAAACAATTTTTTAAAAAATCCAAAGACAAGGATTTGTCTTTCTTCCCCCAAAGAGTGATTAACACATGGAATTCTTCATTCAAAGAGTGATACACACATGGAATTCACTGCCACAGGAGGTGGCGGCAGCTACAAGCATGGATGGCTTCAAGAGGGAACTGGATAAGCATATGGAGCAGAGGTCCATCGGTGGCTATTAGCCACAAGGTATAGATAGGGACTCCGGGGCAAGGGATGCTCTGTCTTCTTGGTGCTTGGGGGGGCAACATTGTGAGGGCTCCTAGTGTCCTGGCCCCACTGCTGGACCCCCTGATGGCACCTGGTATTTCTGGCCACTGTGTGACAGAGTGTTGGACTGGATGGGCCATTGGCCTGATCCAACACTGGCTTCTCTTATGTTCTTATGAAGCACCACAGAACAGGCAATCCCACTTATGCTGAGAAAATACATTTGAATGCTAAAGGATCTGGCTTTTTTCTTCATTGTGGAATCACTTATGAAGTATCCAAAGCACTGGCAGTCTTTTAGAACATGGATGGCTAAGAACAGCCAAGACGTGGAGAATCATACCTGTTACGAAGCTAGGCTTCTTTTTTGTTCAGCTCCTCTCTTCTTCCCCCTCCCCCTCTGTAATTATCTAGATATATATGAGGGAAATGATTTTCTTTCTTTCCATTGCATCTGAAGAAGTGAGCTCTGACTCACAAAAGCTCATGCTGGAACCAACGTAGTTAACATCGAAAGTGCCACTGGATTTTTGTTTTAACCCAAGCCATTCCTTTGTATGGAAATACGACTGCACAGTAGCCTCAGCATTTCCCAATTACCTGCACACTTCTTACAAATGACGACACAGAGATTGATGGATGCCCAGTCAGGATCAGGAGCTCTACAATCGGCACAGGTCCTGTTTGATTCGTTGAACCAGATTTTCTCAGCTACTTCATAGTCAGAGAGAGTTTCTGCGATGGACTGTTGCAGCGCTTCAATCCACTCCTGTTTTTCTTTTTCAGACTCAGTCGTAAAGCTGAAACAGATTGATTCGCCTTATTTTAAATATAAACAAAGGGAGATCTAGTCCCTCCATTTTAGCAACTTTTTAATGTTCATTGTTGTGAGAAGGTGAAAGTATGAAAATAAACCATGAAGGACTGAAAACAGAATTATTTGGGGCAGTGTTCCCTCTAAGCTGGGTTAGTGTGAGCCTGGTCAGTTTTCTAGCCTCCGGCTCACACAGTTTTTTTTGTCTTCGCTCAGGAAGGATGGGGCTCCAGAGCAAACTAATTTATGCAGTAGCCAAATCGCTCGCTCACAACTTTAATGCCAGTAGCTCACAAGACTCCACAGCTTAGAGGGAGCACTGATTTGGGGACCACGCGATGGACATTTACTGAGTTTCAACAGAAGCTGCCATTTTGGTTTGCAGAGTCCTATCGACCTTTGCCCTGTTTCGCCCTCCCAAATAAAACCGCCTTTCCCATCTCTGCAAGTCAGAAAAGAAGTGCAGTTGCCATAAAGATAGACGGCTTAGATTAGGTCGAACTGCACTGGACATTTTGATGCAGAGGGGTGCTTCACTTGGGGGCTTAGGCGACCTATGCATAGTAAATATATCCATTTTTCATGCAGGCTCCCCAAAAGGAGACCTAGGTAGGACACTTAGGAAACTTCAACATAAAACAAAAATCATCTATTTTAAACAGAGGCTGGTACTTAGTGGGAGGCCTCATTACGACCATGTTATTTACTGCAAGGAAGGCATGGATTACGGCCTCACTCACCCATGTCAAGATCCAGTTACCCAGGCCAATAAGAATTCATAACTGGCATTCAATTCTGCTCCACTGCCTGCCTCTGCGTAGCAACCCTGGACTTCCTTGGTGGTCTCCCACCCAAATATTAACCAGGGCTGACCCTGCTTAGCTTCTGAGATCTAGTAAAGTTGGGCGAGCCCCAGCCATCCACGTCAGGGCAATTCCAGATACCCAACTCTTCAAACAGGTTTATCACAAGTTCTCTCCGTGCCTCCCCCAAGGGGGAGACAGTAGGAGAGAGAGCTGCCCTCTGACTGAAGGGTTATGCTTAAAATTCTTCCTCTGCCCACCAATGACACTATCTGTAGTACCTAAGAAGTTTTTAATCATTCTTTTCTGCATTGGGACACTGAAGTTCTCCTGGAGGAAAAACACTAGGGGACTTATTAGAAAGAACATACAGTCAGGGAAAGGGTTAAAAATCCCTGCCACTCACCGATTCTACCCTGCAAACACCCACCCTTATTACGCCGGGGCACATTTGCAGGAAGAAGCGGCCATCCCTGCTGTGTAATAAAGGTAAAGGTTTCCCTTGCTCGAAAGCCAGTTGAATCCGACTCTAGAGGGCGGTGCTCACCTCCGTTTCCAAGCCAAAGAGCCAGCGCTGTCCAGAGATGTTTTCGCAGTCATGTGGCTGGCATGACTAAATGCCGAGGCACATGGAATGCTGTTACCTTCACACAGAAGTGGTACCTATTTATCTACTTGCAATTTCTTGCTTTCGAACTGCTAGGTAGGCAGGAGCTGGGGCCAGAGACGGGAGCTCACTCCGTTATGCGGCACTCGGGTCTCGAACTGCTGAACTACAGATCTTCCGCTCTGCAGCTCAGCATCTTAACCTCTGAGCCACCACATAATAGGGCGGCACAAATGTCCTCAAAAGGGTCCCCGCAATTAATCACCAACAATTAACGCAACGAGTCTTACCTGAAGCTTCTATAAGGTGTGATTATTTCAAAAGATTGCTTTGAAGTACGGTCTACCTGTCTCACGTTAGCCACGTTCATGGGAATTACAGTGATCCCATAACCAGTTCTAAAATCCTGAAAGGGAGAAAAAGATAAGACCATAAACCATTAAAAAACCCTCATACCGTTCAAAACAGTGATTTACAAACATTAGTCAATTGATGAAGAAATAAAGAAAAGAGTCACCATATTGCTTGCTATCAAGGGGCACTGAATGGAAATCTTACATTAACTGTAATTCAGTATCATGCAAGCAGCACAATTTTAATAAAGTGCATTTCTCTAGTGCTTTTTATTAACTGTTCAAAGCACTTCACAGACATTAGCTCCGCAGTGCCTTCAGCAATACAAACGATAGTCTGGTAATAAAAGACAAAGAAGACAGATAAGAAGGCTTTTATACCCCACTTTCTCTCCCCTGAGGAGTCTCAAAGCAGCTTACAATTGCCTTCCCTTCCTGTCCCCAGAACAGGCCTCTTGTGAGGTAGGCGGGGCTGAGAGAGTTCTGAGAGAACTGCAACTGGCCCAAGGTCACCCAGCAGGCTTCATGTGGAGAAGTGGGGAATCAAACCCAGTTTTCCAGATCAGAGTCCGCTGCTCTTAACCACTATACCACACTGTCTCTTACGAAGGTGAAGTATGAAGTCGAGAGAGGCTAGCTTAAACCCACCCAAGAGATGCATAACTAAGTTGAGATCTGAACAGTTTTCACCTCTCAACTTAACCTTAGCTGACAGAGTCTTCTGATTCTTTTAAATAAAACTCAGCTTGCTTAAAGTGCAATCCTATAGCTGACTTACACTCTTCTAAGCCTATTGACTTCAAGAGTTTTAAAAGGATGTAACTCTGCTTGAGCGGGTGCTGTTTTAGAGTACTTGGAACTCCGTGTATCTGCTAATATATATATTTTTTAAAATCAACAGAGCCCCAGACCCCAACCTTTGTAGACCTCTGAACCAGTTATGCAGGGGGAGGCACTAAGGGGAGCCTATGGTCTTTGTTTTCATGCTCTGTACCATCTGGCCAGCCACTGAGTGAAACAAGACATTAGGTCAGACGGACCACTGGTCTGATCATGCCGGGCTCTTCTTCTACTATCAAAATTCCAACCTGCTTTATTAAAATTCCTATTACCAGTAGACTGCTAAAGAAAAGTCTTACCATCTGGACAATTACTGACCTATACCCAGGAGTCATTTCCTGCGGGAGTGCACAGGAGCGGAGCTCTGGCAGTAAGGAGCCCAGGGGGCGGGCACATGCAACAAGCCCCGCCCCCTGCTCCCAGCAGCCTTCAGTCGGGCCACAAGGAACAAGAAGCAGCCAGCTAAGTTGCACAGCCCTCCCCCCAATCCCACCTTCAGGTACAAGTTCTCCTCTGTGAGGGCAGATCTGCGCGTTCCCCCCCCCCCATACCTAGCAATCCCAAACAGTCCAGTGGCACCTTTAAGACTAAGTTTTATTCAGATACAAGCTCTCCCTCCCCTGCAAGGACAGATCCGCACGCCCCCGCCCCCCCAAGAGCTAGCAATCCAAAACAGTCCCGTGGAGTCGGAGCGGTGGCTGTTGCCTTCTGACACACTTCCGGTGATGTCAGGGTGTGTGGCACATGCAAATAAGTTATGCGAATAAGTTATGCTAATGAGCTCCTGTACCTCTTTTTCTACAAAATGACCCCTGCCTATACCTCATCAAAATTCAGTTCAGTAGAGGAAGTCCAGAGATGTAACACTCACAATAAACCCTACTTGCTATGTGAAATAACCATACTGCAAGCCCTTCCTGTGTGGCTTCCCCCAGTATGTATTTTATTAGAAAACTGAAGGAAGCAGCCATGCAAAAACAGCAGCCATTCCACCAAGGCAATGAAAGAATCTGCTCTTAGCCCACGACTCCAAACCCAAGTAGCAAATGTTAAAATTCAAGCAAATATTTTAGCTGTATTCCGAATTTCATGCAAACGATGATGAGATGGCATGTCATCATCCTGTCTGCATAAAGTTGTCCCCGGCCCAATGGATGTCCACTTAGCCTTGACCAGGGCCTTCTCTGTCCTGGCCCCAGCCTGGTAGAACATGCTCCCACGTGAGATGCTGAACCTTCTTTCATTCCGCATGGCCTGTAAGATGGAGCTCTTCCACCAGGCCTTTGGGTGAGGCGGTGGGCGCCCAGTAGAAACAGCTTGGCCTCCCCTGCTGAAGACACCATCCCTACATGGCCCGGATTAAACTGACCCAAAGTCTAGCGACACCAGTGTTGGTGTAAACTGTTTTTAAATGCCCTTTTACTGTTTTAATTATTATTACGTTTTGTGATGCTGAATGGCCAATTATTGTGTGGTCCGCCCTGAGCCCGTTCGTGGGGGAGGGGGACCGCAAATATAAATCTGAAAAATAAATGAAACAAATAAGCTGACTTGACTACCCTGCTGAGACAAGTTTCCGTTGACCCAGCAACATGAGCTCTGCATCAGAGTTGCTTGTTTTAGAGCAAGCCAGACCTGGAGGGGGCACGCCTTTCTAACTCTGTCAGGAGCTGGGATTAGAAATGGAGCAGGAAAGGGGGACTGATATACAGACAAGGAGTCTCGAGAAGGAAGTAGGTTGGAGGCCAAGCAAGAACAGGAGACTGATGCAGGTGCCTCACAACCAACGCAGGGTCAAAAGATGCTCCCTCCCTCTTCCTTACTTTGTTCTACGGTGACTCTGGGACATGAGCATATGTAAAGGTAAAGGTTCCCTTGCTCAAAAGCCAGTTGAGCCCGACTCTAGGGTTGCGGTGCTCATCTCCATTTCCAAGCCAAAGAGCCAGCACTGTCCGAAGACGTTTCCGTGGTCATGTGGCCGGCATGACTAAACACGAAGGCGCACGGAACACTGTTACCTTCCCACCGAAGTGGTACCTATTTATCTACTTGCAATTTCTTGCTTTCGAACTGCTAGGTTGGCAGGAGCTGGAACTAGAGACGGGAGCTCACTACGTCATGCGGCACACTCGGGTCTCGAACTGCTGAACTACTGACCTTCCACAGCCTGCAGTTCAGCGTCTTAACCACTTGAGCCTGGGACATGAGTGTATGAGGACCTCTCTAATTTAGATAATTTAGACCATTGATTCCCTACCTTTTTCGTAACAGTGACCCCACAAGTCCAAATTGATTTGGTATGGTGACCCATTTTTTTAAAAACGACAACAACAACAGAGCATACACAAATGTATAAAACTCCAAAAACCTGGGAGGCATTTCCTATACTTCACAAGCCACTTTACGTTCAGGCCACACAGATTGGGAAACACCAAAGTAGACCACAAGTGTACCTTGGTCAAACCCCTGATCTCCAACCAGGGGTCATTTCGTAGAAAAAGAGGTGCAGGAGCTCATTAGCAAAACTTATTAGCATAACTTATTTGCATATGTCACACCCCTTCACATCACCGGAAGTGTGTCAGAAGGCAACACCCACCGTTTTGGATTGCCAGCGATTGGGGGGGGGGGGACGTACAGATCTGCCCTCACAGAGGACAGAGAGCTTGTACCTGAAGGTGGGCCGGGGTGTGTGTGTCTGCAACTTACCTGGCTGCTTCTTGCTCTGACTGAGGGCTGCTGGGAGCAGAGGGTGGAACTTGTTGTATGTGCCCGCCCCCTGGGCTCCTTACTGCCGGAGCTCTGCTCCTGTGTGCTCCCGCAGGAAATTACCCCTATCCCTAACGATTCAAATCTTCATTTTCTTCTTGTTCTTTATCCCTTCTATTCCTCACTTTTTGCAGTTCCTCTCCAAGATCCATTGACCCTTACCTACGCTTACTTTACGACTCTAATAACTCTCACCTTATTTTGCTTAGACCTTCACCTCATTACTCCTCCCCCCCCCACCCCGATGGCTTTGCAACTGATCTATCTGCTCCACAGCAGCCCAAAGATTTACTCCTATCAGCTGTACTGACACTGGAATCACCTGTCAGCTTGGGCTTGGCAGCACGTTATATAGCAATGCAGTATTCTTCAGCAGTAGGGCAAGCGGAGATAATATATGTACCATGCCAAAGTATGAAGATAAGATGGAAGTGGTCACCATATCTGACTGCAATCTGCGTTGCTGGCAATCGCTCACATTGTGTCAGAAAGAAGAGACGAAGAAACCCAAACCGGTTTAAGATAGCCCTTAAATTGATAAAAGCTGGACAACCCTGGGATTCCAACGATAAAAGGAATGGGATCCTCAAAGGTCCCTTCAGATTTAGTATCCCTCATATTGTTCTTTTATTGCGGAGGTTCCATACCAGGCTGTCAACTGTCTTTACTGGACTGCCTTGGGTAACATATACATGCTCCGTAAACGTAGGGAACCAGAAATACTGCACAGCTAACTGCACGGATAACAGACACCCCCCCCCCCAAAATGCATAACTATGTCCTTATATCCAACCTTAAATTTACAATGAGTGGGCTTTATTCAATGACGCAGTTAAAAATAAGTGGTCTCAAGTTTTCTTAAAAGGGGGCAACGATCACCACTGAATTCTCCTGCTACAGCACCACCTACAGCACAGTGGGGGGGTCACAGTGAGAGGAGGAACGAGAAGACCCTCCGTGGATTGGGAAAGCCAGCTGAGTGGCATGTGCCAGGTGGAGACTTGGGCGGTGCCCACATGCTTCAGGGGGCAAGACAGAACAGGGCTTGTGGGTCAGTGGGGCTGTTCCATCATATACAAACAGAAATATACAAACAGCCACCCTGAGCCTGTTCGCAGGATGGGCGGGGTATAAATATAATGAATAAATAAATAATTAATTAATAAATTGATGCCCCCTCTTCAGAAAACCTAAGCACCTTTAAATCTTCGGCATGTGCCGGATGCGTGGCGCTATGGTCCGGGTAATACACAGATGTATACCTGTCTGCAAAGACAACAAAACTGGGGCCAATATCAGTCCAATAATACACTCTTAAACATTACTTATGTATGCTAATACAATTACTTTTATACTTGATTATAGTATCTAAGTATACAAAATATTCACAAGGTATACAACCTAATCATACAATATCTTAATGTTATACAATAACACGGTAATA